GCAAAATAGAGTGAAATAACAGGATTGCCATGGCTCATAAACGGAGGCTGCTGAATAACAAGCTGTTCTAGTTTACATTAGTTTTTATATCAAATACAGTTCTTCAGGAATTACTGAACGTGGTAGAAAGGGAGTCAACCCCCTCCCAGCACCCCTTTCATCAGTGTCCTGTCACTCCCTGCATCCACTGCGTTACTGGAAGTGGGAGCGGAATTAGTTTCCTTCCCATTCCCCTCGGTATCTGTTGTCAACAGCTCTGACTGCCACTAGCAGTCAATTTGTAGCTGCATCAGTGTGTGTATTAGTGTTCACATCGATAGCGCAATTAATGTTGAAGTCAATTTTGGTGTTAATTTTAGGCCATGATTAGTGTTGACACTCTGTGTCAAGCTAATGGCATTTATGAGCACCATGAAAACGAACGTTAGTTAATATCATGTTTTTACTATCTGTTAACGGTTACATTAAGCCAAAGATCTGCAGGGATAGGGTGTGTATAAAATTATATATAAACTTGTGTGTGTGTGTAATATATATGTGCAATGTGATTCTGCATTGCCAGGGCTATTCAGGGAGCACATGACATCCAAGCACTGAATCCTAATCACAGATTGGAACATCAGAAATAATGATCACTTCTGATCGGAGGTTGTGAATAATTCATCTGGTTTGATTTTCACGTTCTGTCCAGTGATACTTTTCAAACCAAATGTGTTTCTACAGGAGAATAATGGTCCCACTTCTTATGGAAATACTGTGGCACAAATCATTTCGCTAACATAAAAACAGTTAAAGACGACGGTTCTTGTTTTTATTTTTTTTCCCACCCACTCTGCGCTCTCGCTCTCTTTCCTGTCGCCGCGTGTGCTGGGGATCCAAGTGTGGCAAGACAAGCACTTCTAAACTGCTACGGCTGGTTGTTGTTTTTTTTAAAGCCTGTTTTGAAACCGCTACCCCTTGCCATCCCTCGCAATTGTTCTAGCACTGCTCTTGGGCGATTAACTCAGCCTGGCTAATTAACCTGTGAACCTTCTCTTTTTGGCGTGCCGCCATTAACTTAAAAATCACATAATTTTTTTTTTTCTAAAATAGAAAGCCTTTCCCCCACTAGTCATAAATTTAAGCAGCTCATGAGCCTTTCATAGGAGGAAAAAAAAAACCCTTAGCTCTCCCCAGGATTTTTTTTTATTACTAGCCACCTCTCAGTAAAGATGGGGTGCACTGAGAACTTGGATATAAAATATTATAGTGACACATTTGTGCTTTTTAAAATAGTATATGGTTGTACCAGCTTCTTTTATTTATAAAACTATTTTCAGGGATTTATATAATTGCTTGGATGTGTGAAAATTCAAGATTCCCTTGCTAAATAAAACCTTACTTAGTCCATAGCACTGAGGCAAAGAGAATTTAAGCTGTGGATATGTGTTACAGAACCAGAACCCCAGATTAGCGCCTGTGTTTCTGTTCTGTATTATATTGTAATGCCTCTGTGCCTCAGTTTACCTGTTTGGAAACTGAGGTTAGTAATATTTTACTTTTCTTTTGAGCTTTGTCTTTAGTGTCCGTGACTATTTTCTGCCTCCTGGTTTGCTGCGTAGAGGATAAGGGCCTGGTGCATCCTGAAAACTAGCAGAGCTTATATGGTGGGGCCTGTGTTTTTGTGCTGAAGGTCCCAGATTTGGTCCCAGGTCAGCCCTTCTTTACGTGTAGATATTTGCTTACAAAGTGGCGTTTGCTCTCTCTTGCCTTGGAAGCAGTTACAGTGCAATTGATAGCGCTGCCTTTATTTTCTACCCTATCTCACAAGACCTGGAGCTGGCCGCCGTGGTCCATGCCGAGCATGGCATTGGGGCCGGTAGTGAAACTTTCTGAAGGGTGCCCACTTCCAAATATTAGTTGTGACACCATTTGTTTTCCTAAAACCGACCTCAAAATCCCTCATTTCCTCCCTACTATCCAAAGTACAGTGAAGATTGGAGTCGAGCAGTGGTGAAACGTGTGTCTGAGCACACAGGGACTTGCAGTGTGTATCTGCGTGCACTCACGCCAGTCCCACAGAGCAGTATGGGCATGTGGGTGCAGTAAGCTAATGAACAGGGAGGGTATCTGCTTTGCTTAGTATAGACACGCTCAGATGGGAGCACAGAGTGGCTCTGAGTTAATCCTGATGCTCTTACCTCAGTATTTTAAGGGCCAGATCCCAAGATACTTAGTATTCAGCTTTCTCCCTCCTGTGGTGTGGCCAGGAGGATGAAGCTGATCCACTGCTGAGTGTTTTTCTCTCTCTGCTGAAGTCCAGTGATGAAGGAAGTGGACAGCAAGCTCTCAAGCTTTGTTTTTGATCAGTGTGGTTGCTCTTTGGGACCCTGGCAAGTGGTCTGTGTCCCCCTTCCTGTCTTTGCTGAGTGCGGCCAGCCAGCTGCCTCTAGTGGTTGGTACAGCATTTGGGCTTTCCATTAATTTTGCAACAAGATTGGTATTTGAACAGAACATCCCACTGACATTTCTGGATTGACGCTTCTGTGGATGCAGTATCTTTCTTTCAGTCCTTCTGCAGTTGGAGGCTGAGACTTAGCTGTACATCTGCAAATAGAGGCAAGCAAAAAAAGAGCTTATCACCCTGTGGCAGGGCACTGCGTGCGCCTGCCCCTTTAAGGCTCTGGAGCTGGCAGCTGCCAGGTGCCTAATGAGGGCAGCCATTTTAGGTTCAGGGCTGCCCCTATAAACAGACCAGTTCAGCTGCAAGGGGCCAGGCAACAACACTGCCTGGCCAGAGGGCTGCTGAGTTTTCTCTGGAGGTAAGGGGAGGAGCTGTAGGGGGTGGTAAGGAGGCTCCTGGTCCTGAGCATGACCTAAAACTGCACCCTGCTGGGAGTGGGTGGCCTGGTGGGGTTCCCAGTGGCACGGGAGCCCCCAGGAAATGCCAGGCCAGTGATCACCCCAGTGAAAGGCAGGTCAGGGCGCCTTAACCCCTAGCCCCCACCACCGGGTGGGTTACCCCTTTATGTGTAGGGCCCAGGGGGTGGACCCCTAGAGAGAGTGAGGGGTTAGAGACTTGATACTGATGGAGAGAGTACCCTCAACTGGCCCATGCTGGGGCCAGGATCAGGACCAGACTGGTCAAAAGGGCCAGGGGCCCACCGCGAGGGACGCCCGAGAGCCGAGGGCCTGGGGTCCTGACTGGCCTGGAGGTGGGCCAGGACTGGTAGCCGAAGGTCCCAGGGGGACCGCACCCGAGGGGGAAAATGGCTTCAGGGAGCTGGATAGCCGAATGAAGGCAGGGTAGCTCCGCCTGAATGGAGGGATCTTGGAGGGGTCCTGATAGAAGGATTCTGGGGCCCAGTGAGGGGCTGGTCATGACAGGAACACCTAGATGCCATCTGCGAGGCTTGGGCTGCTGTGTAGGGGAGGAATGGAGGTGTAGATAGCGCCCCCTGGCATCGGGGCAAAAAACAGGCAGCCTCCTGCTTACTACCAACTAATTAATTCATAAAGATCAAGGCGTGGTGGGTGAGAAGGCGGGCGGTTAGCCCAAGAACAGGTGGGCGGGCCGCATGGCGAGCGACCCTGAGCAGGCCCCCCTGTTACACACCCTCAGTAGAAAAAAGTGTGGGGGAGAAGGAGCCCCATGAGATGGGGCACAGAAAGCTCTGACTCAGTCAACCCGTGACCCCAGGTCTTGAAAGGGAGGCGCAGTGGAAGGAGCTACAAGGAACCGGCTCTTGTGTTTTTGGATTGCTGCCTGCATTCCCTCCAATGATCCTCTGATTAATTTCTCTGTCTCCATTCTCTCTCTTTCTCTCTCTCTTTTTTTTTTTTTTTATATAATGAACCCATTATGGTGCATCTTACTGCAGACGTTGATTGGATCTCATCTGTGTATTGTGCCCATTTAGATTTGTATTAAACAGCACATATCTGTCTCCAGCTTCTCTTCCCCCCTCTCTCCCCCTCCCGCCATAGTTCATAATGTTCAGGATTCCAAGTATCAGCAGCGAGAGCCTCAACCCTCCTGATTGCAAAGGATGCACATTTGGCTGGAGGAGTGTTTACTCAGAGCTTATGATCCTTGGGCAAGTTGAGACTGGGTGATGCATGTGGCTTTCAGAGGATGCTGCTGTTTACATCTGTTAATGGCATTCCATGATGGCCAGCTCCCCAATGCGGTTATATGCAGCGGTTAAGAGATGGGAGGTGCAGGCTACCGGTGTTGCTCATCTCCATTAGTCAGAACTAGGAGAGATCATCTGGTGAGGTTAAAAAAAAAAAAAAAGAGCAAGACTTGGTGAAAAGGCATCATTTATACACATGGACTTGAAAAGGCAGGCTGAAGGTGACAGAAGCTGCAGCAGTAGCTGGGCTAAGAAAAGGTATGGAGCCAAAGAAATGAAAGACAAAAGCAGAAAGCAAAGAAAGAAGAGAATTGTGAAATAGAGGGATGAAAGATGAGAAGGAAGAGGAAAGAGTGCAATGAGTGGTATGGGAGTCACTCTGAAGTATGATTGACTGGGTGGCCCTGGAGAGGTGGCAGGGACCGTGGTAAACGAACCACACCAAAACAGAACATTTTAACTAACCCTCTGTCCTCCCTGACATGAAATAAAAGCAGCCATAAGAGAGAGGGACCTTGCAGGATGGTTCTGATCTATGTTGAATCCCTGAATGGACAGCACAGCTGGTCAAGGGAGAATCAATGTCACTTCATGTCTAGGATGGGAAGCATGCAATAATGTGAGGTAGGGGTCCTCATGTGTGATGGTGGGTCCAGGTCCATCCTTTCATCCATCTCTGTCAGTTCCTGTCTCCCCGTCCCATAAACTTTATGCCAGCAAAATATGCAGAGAAAGGTCTTTCCTGAGATAACACATCTGCTGTGCAGTCCCTTAGGGGTCCTCAAGGAAGGTATAACCAAAAGGAGGGGGCAGGAGTAGCAGTGCTGTGTCCCAGTATTGGAGAGTATATTTTAAAATGCTTTCTTTCTCTGTCTGTGATTGCAGATTGGTATGGTGGCCTGGAAAATGACCCTCAAGAGCCCCGAGTACCCAGAAGGCCGTGATATCATAGTCATTGGCAATGACATCACATACCGAATTGGCTCCTTTGGACCACAGGAGGACCTGCTCTATCTTCGGGCCTCTGAACTTGCTCGAACTCAGGGCATCCCCCGGATTTACGTGGCTGCCAACAGTGGAGCGAGGATTGGTTTGGCTGAGGAGATTCGTCATATGTTTCACGTGGCCTGGGTGGAGCCTGATGATCCGTATAAAGTAAGGAGGCATTTGGAGGCAGTGAGCTCTGTAATATTCCACAGGCTCATCTTACATTTGCAATACCGGTCTCTCACTTCACAGCTTTACCAGCTACCTGGGCACCCAGTTAACTTGGCACTGACTCAGCGAGTCAGTAGAGCTTTTGCCAGAAGTCATAGATTCATAGATGTTAGGTTCAGAAGGGACCTCAGTAGGTCACCGGGTCCGACCCCCTGCCCTGGGCAGGAAAGAATGCTGGGGTCAATTAGAGCCTGACTTTTTTCAGATGTTGTGAGTATCCCCAGCCTTAAAATCAGAATCTGTTATGATTGAATATATTTCCTGGAAAGCTTTCTTACTGGGAATTTTCCTATTAGAAGTAGGTCATCGGAGAGTTTACCTGACAAGGAGGTGTAAAATAAACCATTTGTCCCCACAGGGATACAAATACTTGTATCTGACACCTCAAGATTATAAGAAGGTCAGTGCCTTGAACTCAGTCCATTGTGAGCACGTGGAAGACGAAGGAGAGTCCAGGTAAGCGGGTCAATGTTGGAGGTCATCCTGTTTCATCCTGGTACACAGGAGGGAAATGTGTTGCTTCCTTGCCTGCTTTGACTTGTCTTGTCACCCCCACATCCGTTAGCATCCAGTCGTGTAATTCTGTGGCGCCCTGCACTTGGCACAACAAAGGTAAAACGTTGTAGCATGAAATGTTGTGATACACACCATGAAATGCAGCAGACCAGTATTATTGCTTCATCTTACTTGTGTAGTTGGGATGCACCAGTCATGGGTGAGGACCCAACCATGCTTAGAGATTGTATGAACATATACAGGAACACAGTTCCTGCTCCAAAGAGCTTTTCATAGGGTCATTTTGGGGGGGTTAAGGGTACCCATTGGAATGGATTTTAAACACTTTTTGCATTGGACCTGCCTAAAAAATGCAGTTACTCCCACTCTAGGCAGCAGGAAACCCTCTACTATATGTGCCCAGGGAGGGGGGCACTTGCAGATGAACTTTAGCAAAGCTGGGGAGAAAGAGGCTCTTAATCTAAGGGAGGGATAGAAAGAAGGCAGAGGTGTCCATGGAGACGCAAGAAACTATTGGAGGGATTTCATGGACTCCAAGGGACAAGAGAAGGAGCTTTGGGCACAAGACAGAGTGAGAGGGGGCCTAAGTTCACTGAAGTATTTATGTATATGCTTAAGTGCTCATGCTTAAAAAGGGTGTGGTGGAAGAGAGAGAATGGTGAAGGCAGGACTGGGGAAAGAAAGGCTTGGAAGTAGCAAGTTCAGAATAGTAAGATATGAGCCTAATTTTAGTCTCTCATCCTCACAGTTTTTTTCTTTAGCCCTCTGCCCCTAATCAGCTGAAGCTCATAATCATTAGCAGGGATGCGAGGATAATTTCTCAGTGGAGCTGACCTCAGTGAGGCTCCATACATTAGCCTGTAACCTGTCCAGCTCACTCAGCACTTCCTCCCAACACTGCTGCTTTGGCAGACCGTGTGCAGCCTGTTCTTCAGCATTGAACAAAGCTGCAGGATGTGAGGTCCTGTATAGGTTCTCATCAGTATAGGTACATTACTCTTTGCCTCCTACATGATACTTTGTCACTTTTCTTTTTCTTGGTAGACAACTGATTCAGCAAATCACTGGGCCTTGCAACTCAAAGGTTGTTTCTGTCTCCCTCAGGTATAAGATAACAGATATTATTGGAAAGGAAGAAGGACTTGGAGTAGAAAACCTCAGAGGGTCCGGCATGATTGCTGGAGAGTCATCATTAGCCTATGACAGTATTATCACCATCAGCCTGGTAAGCCCCAGTTGCTCTGTATCTTGAAACTGCAGTACCTATTTCAGTTGACAAGTTGGCATGTAAAATCCAAAATGCCCATCTAGGACCAGACCTTCGGTTGGTGTAAATTAGTGTTTTTTCATGGACTTCAGTAAAGCTAGACCAGCTTGCGTCAGTGCAGGATCAAAAACACTTTGCTCTTGAGAGGTGCAGTGTGCATTCCTGAGTATATTTTGAATGGATGGGAAAAGCAAAGCAACTATAGCTCAACTCAGTGGTTGCTTAATTAGTAGGTTATTGGGTTTTTAAAAGTCCTCCTAAATGTATAAACCACATGCATTACTGGGTACATCATGGCTTTTTAAATAAAAGCAGAAGTTCTGCAGCATGGTGTTGTTGGAAAGGTTGAAATGTGTGGCCACAGAATACAAAGGCCCCCAAATATAAGCAGAATAGTCTTGCCAGACCATCTGGATCAGCATGTTTTGCACCTATCCTGGGATGTAAATCAAATATGATTTGTATTTATAGGTCACATGTCGGGCAATTGGCATTGGGGCTTACCTTGTTCGGCTTGGACAGAGGACCATCCAAGTGGAGAACTCCCATATAATCCTGACCGGAGCCGGAGCTCTGAACAAGGTAAGTTGGCACTTCAGCGTCCCGTTTTATCTCATTTGGGTCTGGTTATATGCTTCCTCAGGATGAGCACCACATCTCATGAACCACTCTCACCACAACCGGGACCCAGTTTGGCTCCTTAGTGCCTGCAGAAAAGCTGCAGGAGCACGTGCGATGTAGAGACTGAGCTCCCTTCTCACTTCCTCTGTCTCAGGGCTGGTGCAGCGTATGGGATGCTTGCACTGCTGCTGCATATGCCTGACCCATTCTGTGATTTGATGCATCTGCTCTCTGGCCTGATTAGTTTGTTTTAACAAACATAGTGTTTCAGCTCTGATGCTATGTTGGGGACAAATAAAGGTGTCCTACATCTATTAATTGTTCTGCCCTACCACTTTATATTCTTGTTGTTATCTGCAAGCTTCTGGAGAGAGCATCCCTCTCAGCTGGCAGCTTCTGTTTGGAATATGCTCTAACGTGGATTCTCATTCTTGCTGTCTCCTTCTGAGTCTGGTCTTGGATATGTGCTGTGTGTGCATAGGGAGGAAACTATAGAGACCCAAGAAATGTATTTTAAAATGTGTTCCCCAGTAGTTGGGGATGGTTGCAGGATGTCACAGAGTTCAAGGGCTGGAAATCTCCCAAATATATTTTTCTGCTCGCAAAGTCAGGCTATTCATGAGCCAGTCTTTCTTTTTTTTAAAACAGTTGGTGATTTTTATAAAAAAAAGTGTGATCCAGTTAATAAAAGATTGATCAGGGTCTAAGCAGGGACATTTCCAGGGACTGAGATGATCAAAGATGTATTAGACATACAGGAGAGCTTTGTATTAAGTCCTCTATTGATTTAGGTGGTTTTGTGTGAGAGGTAAGGTTATAGTTATAATATGTGATGCTATCTTTGTAGGAAAGCCTGCATTCTGTGACTTTTATATATTAAGGATTCCTGACACCCCTAAAGGCGCATTAGAGGGAGGTTCTGGGGGATATGACTCTTTGGTCAGGATGGCCCAAATCATAGGAGAGAGAGTTAACCTAGTATGACAAGTCATTCAGAATTAACCGCTCTTGACAAGTCATTCAGACTCTTGAGAGTGGAAATGCTTGGAGTTAGGAGGCATCCGGGGTGTCTTATGGGAAGCAGAGTAACCTTTTGGAAGGTGGGGGTCCCAGGTCCTCTTCCCCAGTACATTGTGTTGATGTGTATGGAGTGCCCAGCACCAGGAGAACTGTTTGTGGGCTGGTGTGCATCATGGGGTGGCTAGTACCACAACTTTTCCAACAGAGCTATGGTAGCAGAGATCCCTAATGGAGACACAGAGTAGGATGGTATAAGGGCTTTTCATGCTGGTTTCACTTATTGGACCTTCCCCGAACCACAGCAGCTCTGCTGCTGGAAACCCTTTTCTGCCACTGTAACTATATCCAAGTAGGAGGGGGGGGGTGTGCGTGTGTGTGTGTGTATGTTTGGGGGGCATAGGGGTCAGCACCAGAAGTTTTCAGCAAAGGGGCACAGCTGGCATAGCTATGCCAGCAAAGCTGTGTAGTGCAAACCGAGTCAGTGACAACTATTGATAAGGACTCTCAGCACTTTGGCATCTCAGATACCCTAGAGTCTGCCATTTTTGGGGTTGGGGGGCCGGCAGGAGTAGGAAGTCACTTTAAACTGCAAGAACCTTAACTGCTTCCTCTGCACCAAAGAGATCATTTTTCTTCTCAAGAGCTGATTTCCCTTCCTTGTTTCCCCCAGCCCTGCCAGCATCACAGCCCCTCTCTGTTGCTGCCTGTAATCTGATGTGAGCCATGACCACTCTGCTCTCATCGAGGGCTTTGTTTACGTGGCTGTGATGATTGTGCAGGCACAAGTGCCCCTCTCCACGGTGCAGCTTTATGCTCAGCCACTCTCCAGCACCTGGGGTTGGCGTGCTTCAGCGCAGGCGGCATTTCGGTGTTCGGAGGAGTGTCTGCCCAGCAGTGGGAAATGAAAGGGAAAGAGTCTTTCATTGCATTGTTGCACTGAATAAGAGGGCTCTGCAAAGAACAAGGCACTGATCCTTTCAACTCTGGGATGCTCACACTTGAGTTAAGTCTGTTATACACACATGCACATGCGCACACACACGCACCACATGCATATACCAGCATATGCAAGAGGGAGGCATTTCAAGACCTTTCTTTTTAAAGGTGTGAGTTCTGTGCTCACCGAAGGGGTGTGTACAGCCTGGTTCTGGCTCAGCGATTGGTGCAGACTCACGTTCTTCATGCTTCCATGAATGGCATTGCCAGTTTGCTTAGTCCTCCTGGTTGATCTTTATTCTACCTGGTTTCTTGTAGGC